ACTAAGATAATATTAAATGTAAATCACATGTTTTCTACATTTTTATGAAAAAAGATGTCAAATATAAATTTTAATATCATACCAGCCGTGACACCGTGTCGTGTGCTTCTGTTTTTCATTTACAAATTCTGAAGTTCTGAACTCTGAGAAGATCTACTTGAAGCGTAGATTATACTTTAATAAAATCCATACAATGTTATATATTTTGTTATGTCTTACTTGGGTTTGTTCCTTCGTAGACAATTTTGAGTTGTTATCCTCTGTTAAAGAATGAGTTCGCTCCCTCGCTAAGCACTACAGTACGCTATTGAAACTTATTATTACAGGAATTGAATTTTAACGCAATGAATTAAAATGATATTAATACTTTTATTTTTTATATAAAACGTACACACAGTAATCGAGTCTAAGACTATTTCACAACTGACTTACGTACTTACGCATTATTCGATGGCGACGGACGTCGTCTTACTAAAGTGCTTACCCATCTAAATTCTACGTTACCTATATTATATTACTATAAGAACAAGGGGTTCCTAACATATTGTTATAACTTATATTAAATTTACAACTTATAAATTATGTTATTATAATTATTTATAATAGTTTTTAAATTATCTATATCAGTAAAATGCAAATATGTCGGAGTAATATAAAATCGTAGCACTGGTGTTATCCCGTGTGGTAGTAATACGGGGATTACTGCATTGAACAAGCTACCATTACGTCACGTGACCAAACGTCGTTGTTGTTGTGCCGGCAGGCTGTCATGGACACTGCGTTCCTGCAATGACAATGACAACCGTCGATAACACTTATTGTTGTCACCGCTCTCCGACATCGCGGTACACACCCGTCCTATCGTTACATTGATTCTATTTCGCATTACCCGCGTTGAGTGTTGACCGCCGTCGATAGCTCGCCGCCGTACCCGCTCGTCATATCACCGCGGCACTCGCGAAACACGTTGAAACCTGTCGTATTCATTACCGCCGTTGCCGTACCCACGCCGTCACTGTATTCACGCAACCGCCGTACTCACGCAGTCACGGTGCTGCTTTGACGAATACGTGTTTAGTGTTTTGTGTTTATTTCGACATCGCCATTTGTTTGCACCGCAAACAGGTCAGTGTAGACGTGTTATGTGCATGTATCGGTGCGTTCCACAGTGGTAGCCTGCGTCGGCGGACGCTTATCAGGCATTCGTGTGCGACCGGCCACCTGTGGAAGCATTATCAATGTTTTCGTTATAATATTTGGTTACGTTCAAAACTTGAAGTTGTTTTTCGTGTAGTCAAGCTTTCAGTGTCATAAAGTTCATAGTTTTTTCCGTTGGTTATTGTTTTAGTGTGGGGACACTGAAAGACCGTTCGTTTTGTGTTTTTTCGTTTTTGTGCTCGTTGCTGAGCGGTTCAAGCAAGCAGCAACGTCATGGTTGTTACATCAGTTTTGTAATGAGCTGTTTGCAGTCGTTCCAAACCACGTTGTTATGATAATGTGATTAAGTTTCTGGTAATTATCGTTCTCAGCAATTTTTATTGCCATCACTAATTTGTTGTTCCCAGTATAGGGTGGTCAAAATTACCAGAGATTTGTGTTGTGATTCAACTTGTTTCGGTGTACCTCGTTGCTCGTGGGGACAGTAGTGCGAACACTAGAGATCCTGTTCCGGCTGCATTCAGTGTGTTTCTGTTTGTGAAGTCATCGTCAACAGTTGCTGGCGCACGTACGCAGGGTCAATTTGTTTTTTATTGTAACTTATTGACATACTTACAGGCCCTGGGTGTAAAACCAGGTGTGTGTCTCAACTGTTATGTGAGTATTGGTCGACCAAATATGTGTGTGTGTATGACCGACGGGTCCTAAAGTATTATTTATTATTTATATTCTGTTTATATATTACAGCCAACCAGGCTCATTGTTCGATTGTTTTTATATTATTATTGTTTGCCAACCAGGCTCATTGTACATTGTACACTTGTTATAACCATTAGAGGCTGACAATAAACACTATATCATTACCTTACTGCATTATTATTCATTGGCGTGAGGGTTTACTTGGCGTTTCACTTGATACACCAAGCATCGAGCGCGCAAACACCATTCAACAACCTGCACTTACCCTATTCACGGGGGATCGTCAAATATTATATTATATATTAAATAAATAATGTTTAAAATCAATATTGTTACGGAGATACATATCATAGCCCATAGGTGTCCAATTTTCAAGATAACAAATATATTTTAATTTTTAATTTATTAGACTCACATTAACTTTTGTTTACCTACATATTTTAATTTCATTTTGGTACTGCTTACAGTTTAAATAACTAAATATGTTCATAAATCTAGTTACAACATAATATTATCTTCAATTTTTAAGTGAATTTTTTTATGTATTGAATTTACTATACTGTATGACTGTCAATTGATAAACAAATTCACATTTTATATTATATTTGTATGTTGTAGACATCAATATGTACATTGTTTGATAAATGTAAAAGTAAAAAAAAATTAACTCAATTTTCTTATATTTTCTAAAGTATACCAAACAATAATAAATAATTTACAATAATATTATATACATTTAATTTCTATTTAAAATGAAAATTCTTTTTTTATACTTAACATATTTTCAACATAACAGTTTTAAGTTATTTCCATACTGATAATATTCTTATATCCCTTTCAATTTCTTCATCCGAATGATATACATCTGAGTTTGTAAAACAGCTAATTATATTGAGTGAGCTTAGGCCATTATAGTAGTTCCCCATATATGTTTTTTCAACATCTTTTTCTATTAATACCACGGGATACTAAAACAAAATAAATTTGTTAAGAAGATAAAATCATTGCATCTAAAAAATGATTCTGTGCAGTGTGCTCATATTTTAAGATTGGCAGTTTTTAATGCTTAGTTAAAAATTGATTGTTTAAAGAAAACAAAGGTGAACATTTCTTATAATATATCACTAACCTTAAACACATGATAATCATGTAAAATAACAAATACCTACCACCGAACTCATAACATACAATTAGTTTCAAGATAATATGTACAGTAGAAGCAGCTTATTAGGAATACTTTTGGAGCGAAGTAAAGTGTGTTAATTAATTTAATATTTCTAATAATTGATTGGTTTTACTTATTATGAAAAAAATTTATAATTTAAAAAAAAATAGGTACAATGAAAAAATAAATTATATTATGTAAAATATATATTTATTGATATTGTTTTCCTCTGTTCATACTGGCCCAATGAGTTTAAACCACGTTTGCTGCACTTAAATAGGCTTTCCCCCTGCTCTATGTGTGCTTTAATGAAATACACAAAATTATAATTGGATAAGTGGAATTCGGTATCGTTTGTAACAACATAAGATAATGTTCATTGTAATTAGTTGGTACATTGGGTAATGCCAAATTACCGGATGTTGTCGTCAAAATTGGCTCTAATTGTTTCAATAATAGGATTGATTTACAATGTTTTAATATACGGTCAATCCGTATTTTCTTTCAATATCACAATTGTATTAATTATCCGTGTTCCTAACAAGCGGCATTTATTGTATTTCTTATAAGTCAGAATATTAATAAAACATGTAATTTACCTTTCTCAACTGGTGAATGTAGCCGTTAGCAAGACCATAGAGTACTAAATTTCTTTCATCCATATTTATTGAGACTGGATTAAACCTTAAGCAGAAATCAATAAACCGCGATCCTTGTCTCATTACAGAGAACACAGTAAATATGTCCTTGAATGTGGCATTTGAGTTTTGGTCCACCTACAAGAGAATATGGTTATTAACATACATTTAATATCAAATAAAAATGTTAAATGAACTTACTAGGTCTTGAGATATCACTAATAATTGCTTCATCATAATGACTTTTATTTCTTGCGAGTTGTCCAATTTTGGTAGTACATACATACATGTTACTATAACGAAATAGGTAGGTCTACTAATGAAACAGCATTACAATAACTAAAAAAATAAAAATAACAAATTAATACAAAATATTCTAATACATTGTGTCAACTGAACAGCTGAATAATAGTTAAGTGTTACAAATATAATAAAATTATTTTAATATATTACACTAATCTTTGAATACATGCAGCAACCACTTCAATGTCCGATTTAGAAAGTTTGGAATTTTGCATACATGATTTACTCTATCAATAAAAGGAGCTACCTGAAAACCACAAGGATTTATAATATTTAATTACATAACTTTTACAACAACATGACATATTGCAATGTGAAGAATACACTTACTTGTCTGGTAGTTAAATCCCACTGTCCATCTAAAAGATCTATTTCAGGTACTGGTAACGGAACATCAAAATCCAATGGAGTAGGTGGATTATACGTGAAACATCAATTACATTTAAATAAACAATTGACTGTTGTGCTATAAAAATCATAATTAGTAATATGAGATAAGTACTTTATTACATGAAATTTTATCATCACTTTATCATTCTGTAAACAATGTTCTCTCGAGAGTGTCATTAGTGTCCTTGTAAGGTGTTCCGTCAAGGCACCATCATTGTGGGCTGTGACCATGCCCATCTTTGAATTCACCATACATTTCGGAGCGTCTTTTAAGCCAGCTTCCAAAACTTGTCTGAAAGTAGGTAAATAGACAATTATAGACAAACCAAATTTTATACACCAGTGGCGAAGCGTGGGTTTTAAGAAACTGTAAAGGTACGGTTTCCCTGCAGCGTCTGACGCCGAAACCCTAGATTATGTATTTTGTGTGCGACTGGTTTCGCTACTCGCGTTAGTACCGGTCCGGACCAGTGTTGCGTCAAGACGCCCGGCGTCAACATGTCAAAAAAATAGTAAATTAGGTTAGGTACTAATCAATACATTTTTTTTAAATCGTCGTCTAATTTATTATATTTCTATAAAAATAAATATCAAATTCTACCTCAAAGTGCTAGTTTTTTCTCTGGAGTTATTGGCTCAGGTACACGTTATGTCGGTTTCTTTGTCATTACTTCTTGAACCAAAGATAAAATAAAATTGAACTGTTTACGATTTAGACGAAAAAATTCCCGAAATTGTTCATCGTCGTTAATAAGATGTCCACCAATCAAACTTTTAAAGAATCCTTCAGAGTTCCTCGTGGAAAACAAACTGTTAAAAGGTTTTCTTTTTTTTGGAATAATGTTCGTAAGTGACTCATTTTCCATTTCTTCGTCACGAAGTAACAACTCACAAATAATATTAATATTATAAATAATAGAGTAACCTTTGGTATCATGGCGCATGGGGGAAAATGAACTATTGAGACTAAATGAGTATAAGTAATTTAATAATATTGCTATCTGGTCAAACATTTTTGTTATTATGATTATGTTATCATAGCCAAACGTGATAAAACATTTTTTTCAGCAATTGATGATGTTTTGGCGGCAATATGAGGTAAAATATTAATTGTATTGGTCTGATATAAAATTTGAGTAGTATAGAAGTGAAGTAACTAGTAATGTGTACTATAATATAACTAAAGGTCAATACTGTAACGAGCTGTGACTACGTATATATTAATAATAGTAATAATATATAAAATATTATGTTGTAGTAGGTAAAGTACGATTATAATCTATATATATAAAAAGGTGGGCAAGTGGGTGTCGCTCTGCTGTACAGTAGGTTACAAGTGGGTCACTGTATAATGGATGGTATTAAATTTGAATTCAATGATATAATATCATTGTATAAGAAAAACGATTCTGAGGGGTGACGGTATGTCAGTCTGTGTATAAGACATATTATATACATATCTATGGTATTAAACAAAAAATTGACCTATAATAAATTCCAAATTAATCATATCACAATATCCATTAGATACTTAAACACGTTATACATCAACAAAAACCGTGATACTATCATAGATATATAATAGTACACTTTAGAAGTTTCAAGTACCCACGAATAATATTATTCAATCACAACAAAATAACTAAAATAGTTATTCTAGGTTTTTTAATATGTAATTTCGTCCAAATTTGAATTTAAAATGTCTGTAAAAATTAAGTGTGTTCATATATTTTTTAGATTTTTTGGTTACAGTATGAACTATTTACGAGAACCTTTGTGTTGAATTTGCAATCCTTAGCTATAAAAACTGAACATTTTATAATTTATTAATTACAATGATTGATAATTTTCGAGATTTTGATAAATTTTGTCAAAATTTGATCTTTAAATGCTTATAAAAAAAAACTGTGCCTATGTATTTTTAATATTTTTCAACTGCTATTGTAACAATATATCAGGAGCCTTGTATTAAATTTTTACACATTTGGCCCAACAGATAAAACTTTATTGATATTTATAGAAAAAAAAACTAAAAAAAATTGAAAGCTGTAAATGTCCATAAACAGCTCAAAAAGAGTCAAAATATTTTCAAAATTGTATGGTGTATAGAAAATGCTAATTTAAACATTGAGTGAAATTTTCATGTATCTACAGTTGTTCGTTTTTGAATTGCAACAAAATAAGGAAATCGCTACATGAGTAATCGAGTGAATATCCAATGTTGTAAAAATTTTAATTTCAAACGCTCATAAAAATTTAACTTGACTGTCCGGTAGAGATTTTTTTATTGATAAAGGTAGATAATCTTATAAGGAATCTTGTGTTTCATTTTCAAATCTTAGATTTAAAAAGAAAAATTTTTACGAATTCTTAACTCAAAATAATTTGCTAATTTTCGTGATTTTTTCATATTTTGTAAATTTTTGAACTTTAAATGCTTATAAAAAAAAATTGTGACTAAGGATTTTTAATATTTTTCATCTGCCTTTGAAACAACATATTAGGAGCCTTCTATTAAATTTTCAAGCTTTCGCAACCAACAAATAAAATTTTATTGATATTTCTAGAAAAAAACTAAAAAAAAATTAAAAATGAAAATGTCCCTAAACAGTTCAAAATAAATCAAAATATTTTGAAAATGTTATCGTGTATAGATAATGCAAATATAAACAACCATTGAAAATTGCATGTATCTACGGTCATTTGTTTTAAAGTTACACCAAAAACCAAATTCGATTTTTTGGAAAATCGATTTTGCGTAAAAATTCCCGTTTTTCCTTAATTTTTATGTTGTTTTTCCCGGCGCTTGTGAAAACTACTGGAAAATGTTTACTTTTGACCCCTCAAAGTACCAACTAGATTCACTTTCCTATCAGAAAAGGTACTATTGAAGAAAATCGAAGAACTTTTACTGCCCCAAAACGTGATGACAGACACAAAAAAAAATATAAAAATATAAAAATATAAAAATATAAAAAAAAACACACATCATTGTAAAACCAATACATTCATCGCTCCGCTCAGAATCTAAAATGGAGACAAAAAAATCGAAATTGCATCAGTTGAGAACGGCTGGGCCGATTTTGCTCAAATTTTTTTTAAGATGTTCGTAATTGCCAGGTGAAGGTTTTTACGAAAGAAAATGTTTACAAAGTCAACCGAATAATTAGAAAAACTGCAAAAACTATTTATTGATGTCTGGGATTTGAACTCGATACCGTTGTCTTTATTTACTCTATGGTGTATTATATTATATTGGTTGCTATTGGTTAATCGGGCATGTTTGTTGATTTGTATTATTATTTTTTGTAAATATATCTTATATATAAATGAATGACCTATGGGAAGAAGATACGCTAATTTAAAAAGGGTTAAATTTGGTTTTTTTTATTCATCGGATTTTAGTACGGTTAGGTTAGGTTAGGATTTATAGGTAGGTGGAATTAAGTAAAAACGTCAAACTTGGTATAACTTTGGTACTTTTTGAGTTAAATCATACACTTACGTACAAACAGCACGGGGTCCGCGATCTACCGCAGGTAAATTACCTATCTGATAATGTACTGCTACAATTCAGAATTTTTATTCCGGGCAACAGAAAAGTTAAGATAAATCTAGAACATCATACACCGAATATTAAATAACGCATTGAACAATGTTTGAGTCATAAATAGTTGGTACATTTAACGGGAAACGAAGTGCACGGGATCAGCTAGTATATATATATATTATGTTCAATAATAGTGTAGTAAACCGTATTACGTAAACGCACGGTTTACTTTAATTATGTATAATTAGGTAACATTTCCATGACGCAGAGTAAATCCTTGTACCTTGTACTTTTTGACTGTTATTGCGAATTTCATATTTATGGAAACTGCGTAATTAACTTGTTTTTTTATTGATTACTTAAAGTCGTAAAACACTTCTAAGCATGTAAGCCAATCCCGTGGCTCCTTAGAGATCACGCCACGGGCATACATTAATATAAATATAGCAACTAAGTAGTCACTAAGTTAGAATTATTTTACTTTAGCTTAACTGCACATAGTTCTCGGGTACCGAGCGTAACCTCTGCCCACAAATTTCTACAATTGTAAACTGTTATAGTCTGTAATTTTGTTAAAACATAATAAACATTAATACCGTGAATATATACTTATTCATTTCTAAGTGCAACCTCATCGTCACTCAAGCTCAACAACGAAACGTCGAAGCACGTCATTAAATAATTAAGTGTACAAGTGTAGTACGAGAGTACTACAATAGACATAGATGCTACAGGGAGCGCGTAACCCCGGTAATAGTAATAATATCAGCATCCGAGCGGCCACATCGATAAGAATTAATTAATGGTACAGCGCGAACACGTGATAGGTATACGCGCGCAATTTCCATATTCTAGGAAAGACGAAAAAACCGTAAATAGTATAAATAGATAACTATTTGGAAACATATAATCCGTAATTAACATTTTTTCATAAAAGACGTCAGAAATGACCTCAGGCGGATACGGCGCGTGTACCATTTTTATACTAAAAATGCCATAGGAGGGATCTATTAGGAATACCGACGAAATACGTCGATGGACAAGTGTCCATCGGACGAGCACCAGTAGAGCAGCCACCAAGTCGATACTAAGTCACATCTCGTTTACCACATTATTATAAATTAATTATTTGGACTTAGACTATTTTGCGTGTTAAATAAATACAAATAAATTATCATTATACCATCAACTTGTTATTTTATTCAAAATACAATCAAAACTGAGTTGAAGTGGTTGGCACGTTACAATACTAGTAATATAACAACTGAATATTATACTACAATACTGTGTGGTGATTTATTATTATTATAATTACTAGAGTTAGGATGTTGATGACTTTTGCATTTTTTTTGTTTTTTAACGTCATTTTTCAACATTTTTAAGTCATTTTTTCATCTTTTAGGGCATTTTTCACAAATTATAGATTTTATGGCAAATGTTACACCCAAGTTTGGAAACAAATTTAATTTATTTAAAATCTAACTTTGGATTTGGACTATTAGTAAAAAATAATTTTAATATTATTATTGTGGGGTTTTTGTTGTGATTACATTTATCGTGTTCCGATAAGATTTACTCTTTGAGTGTTATATATTGATGAAACGAGTGCTTTTTCAGACATACGCCGATCATACACGCTTATCGAGTATTATATTTATAAATGTATGGAATAAATCCGCTAAACAAGATTAAATTGACATAGACATAATTAGACCTATTGATTGACGTGCTTATAATTTCAGTAAAAGAAACTATTGTCAGTAGTGTTTTTTGTTATTTATTTTTAATATTGAAATTTATTTATAAATTATTCAAATGCTTCTACTATTACACCCATTATTATACCCATATCTCTAATAAAAATTATTATTTATAAATAAGTTTTTTCACTTACTTAATTAGTATTTTAGATAATTTTTAAGGTCATTTTTTGAAGTTTTTAGGTCATTTTTGCACTTTTTTTAGGGCTTTTTGCATTTTTTTAAGGGCATTTTTGTGTGTTTTTTAGGTCATCAACATTTTGGCCAAGTTTCGGCGAGTGTCAGTGAATAAATATGTTTTTGCATTTAACCATTCTGTTCCACTTTAATTTTCCTTAAAATTAACCACTCTCGCCATCAAGCTGACTGTTTATGCAGAAAATCGTATTGTGGTAAAATGGCTCAGTGGGTTTTGGGGTAAGAGTGCGGCAGTATTTCTTATATGATAATTGATTACCTACTTTTATAAACATTTAATTTTTCTAGCTATAAATTGAATTAATTATATCTATTTATTTATTAATTTATTTAAACTAATAGGTACATTATATCTACGATGTATCAACAAATGATTAAATAATAATATTATGTAATATTTATTGAATAATTATACTTAAAAAAATTACTCAAATTCAAACCTTAAATTAATTTTTAAATTGTATTAATTATATTATTATATTAGGAACTTTTATATTATGCAATATACATGCATATTATATACAGGGTGTAACAGAAAGATATGACATACATATAATGGAAATGTTCCTAAACAGTTCAAAACAAATCAAAATGTTTTGAAAATTTTATCGTGTATAGAAAATGCAAATATAAACTACAAGTGAAAATTTCATGTATATACGTTCATTTGTTTTAGAGTTTAACCAAAAACCAAAAATCGATTTTGTCATATCTTTCTGTTACACCTGTATATTTATAACTTATTATTTGATAAAAATAAAATAGATAACATTCTTTAATAAAATAGATTTTTATGAATTAATTTTAGGCCTATTACCCCATTAGGTGAGCATTTTTACCCCAATAACGGGGTAAAAAGACGCATTTGTTATAATTTCTAATTATTCAGAATTGTTGGTATTTGCTTTGGTAAAATTAAATTTTGACCTGAAAATTGAAATCTACGTAATATTTACGATAGGAAAACAATATAACAATATTTCTAAAACTTGTATGCTACCACATACCAGCTGTTAAATGTTAGGTGCGCCATTATACCACAGGTTACTCTACTGTTCAAAATTAAATTTTGATTCATTTTGAAAAATTAAAAAATTAGAACTTATATGTGAAAACTACGCGTGCGGAAGAGACAACGGATTTAATTTTGTAAAATCAAACTAAAAGAGTGGGATAAAATAATAAAATCTATGGTGTCCAACGCTACAGAGAAAACAGTGTAAAAGCTGCGTCCAGACTAAGGTTTATAGATAATAATTATTTATAGATAATAAACAGCGTCTGGACTCTGCAGGGAAACCGTACCTTAAGCAGAAATTTTTTTTTTAAAGTAATTAAAAATTCAATGCGAGAACGACTTATTTCATGACGATGCTTTAAATTATGAACGTTTTTCAAATCTTTGCAACCATATTTCGACCGAACATTGGATTCATGTGAAAATAAAAGACAAGGCCAACAATTTAATTTTTGAGTATTTTGACAACCTCATAGCCATTTATTTGAATCGTAATATGAATAGTTAAATAACGGACATGTTTTTTACATTTTGTTTTTAAATCTAAAAGTTTTGGAGTTGGTCTACCATTATTTATAATATTCTGTTTTTCAACAAAAGTATACGATCCATACGATTTTACTAATATAATTGTTCAATAATGCATTTACAATAGTTATTAGTAATAACTACCTATATTACTATATATAACTATATTCAGGTGTGAATTTAAATAGTAATAACTTATTACTATTTAAATTCACACCTGAAGAACATGAAGGCAGATCCATTTCCATTGTAAAATAATTAAATAAGTGTTTACAATTTATTATAGATCTATATAATATATTCTATAACATACCAACACGAAAATAATAATAATGTAGGTAGGTAGGTACCACGAATCCAAACGATTATCGTCGATTATCGCCTTATCGGAAATAAAAATTATAATAAACCTGTTGGTACTGTGGTGTATGCAAAATCATAAGCCCTTACAAATTGTATATAAATACGAGCCTTGTAGGTAAGTCGTGTCTATTAGCTCGGGTAAGCAGTATCAGAACATGTCACACGACGGCACAACGCGTCAATACCCAGTGTTAATAGAACAAAAATAGTTTTTCCAGTTTTTCCACCATCACACGCAACGGCCGACGACGATGACCAAAATATTGTTGTGTTCGTCATTAATATTAACTTATTTTTCCTTTTTTCAAGTGTAATCAGTGCTTACAGTGCTTACATGCAAGCTACGCCCCTGGTAGGTATACACGCATAATATAATAATACTTGCAGGGAGTAGGAAGTTTCCCACACGTTCAAGTCTCATTTCCCTTGTGGTAACCGTGATTATTTTACACGACGCGGTGTAGTGTGAACCCCCCTTTACGATGTGGCTATAATATGCTGGTACAATATCCACGAAAAAAAGGTAATAATATGTAAGACTGCGTAGGAACTCTTGTTTGGCAACCGGAGCCGGAATTCCCGGAGAGCGTCTATATTCTTATTCGCATAGACCATAGTTTAAACTTTAATTAAATGCGTCCGAATGGTGTAGGTAGGTTAAGAGGACGTGTCACCGAAACGTGTACGCATGCAACGACCGAGAGGATGCGCTGTTAGGTGTTTTCACGATCCGCAAGCGCGCGGCGTTTAAGTCACGCCTACTATTCGAAATTCGCAACCGGCCGACGGCGGCGACGAGTGCTCGTTCGGGAGCGCTGTTTATTTGTCTAAGAGCTTTCGTCTGGTACGATTCGTATCATTATAATTCATTATACGCAAATGCCGCCGTAATATTTTCAATACCCTCGCGTACCTATGATTTGCTGATTTTAAACTAAGATACTGTTTACCTAAATTTATGTCCCAATATATAGATCGTAGAAACTGTATTATAACATAGCTTGATTTGTAGTTATTGAATTATTACTTATTTAAATATAATACTTATAGTAAAATCTAATAAATCATAAATAAAATAAATACAGCGAAATTAAATTAATATTAATTGTCTGTGTTTTGTCAAATTAAATTTTTATGAGCGTTTGAAATTCAAATTTTTACAACATTGGATATTCACTCGATTTCTCATGTAGCGATTTCCTTATTTTGTTGTAATTCATAAACGAATAACTGTAGATACATGAAAATTACACTGAATGTTTATATTCTCATTTTTGAAAATATTTTGACTCTTTTTGAGCTGATTACGGACATAGTCAGTTTTCAATTTTTTTAATTTTTTTTTTTATAAATATCAATAAATTTTGAAAAATTTGTTAATATTGTACCCATATAAATATAGTAATTATATAGTAATTCGGCTTATTAAAATGGTTTACATCAAAACTACCTATAATAAAAGTTATAGAGAAGAATTTTTAACAATCGTAATAAGCCTGATTTTCGATATTTTTATTAATTAGTTAAATAATTAATCGATAAATATTTCAAAACCGTGTTAGTTTACCATGTGATATTGGACAATAAGAATACGAATACGATATCAAAAATCGGATTCCTTACGATTGTTAAAAAAGTTCTCCTCTACAATTTTTATAATAGGTAGTTTTGTTGTAAATATTACCTATTGGTAAATTATTTGTCAATTCTTTTGAAATACAAACATATTACTTTTTATTTAAAAATATATAACAAATATATGTATAACAAATTAAAACAATTTTGTTTTGACTGTCGATTTTACTGCTTAGGATTTATTTGGTTCTCGTATGTCGGATATCATTAAACGGTGTTTAAAAACTGGATCAACTATTTCGGGTAGTAAACAATTTAAATAAAAACTAAAAAAAAAATATTTAAACTATAAATAAAATTAAAATTTATTAATCTAAATAAAATGAGCAAACTCACTGTTTTAATTTATCCACCATTTTTGATGACCAAAAATCATGATCGTAAAATATTTTTTCAACCGATGTCCAGTTTGGTGTATATATTATAAAATAACACATTTCCCTATGTGTTATATGTAGCTGTCCTTGAACTTGGTAAAAGTAATCATGGGTACTTTTTAATTTCAATTGACCATTTACAATTGTACAGTATTTTAGCTATATATATATATTATATGAATATAAATAATAATGTTAGTATAAGGAAGTAAAAATTATAAGCTAATTAAATTTCTATGACATATTGACATATAACTGATTATTGACTAGTTAGGAATACAAAAATTATTGTTTATATTTGATGCTTACTTACTTTACCACTCTCTACGGCTTCATTTATATTTAAAGTATCTTTTGCTGCATACGGTGCTTTAATTTCAACAATAGCATTATTATCAATGATAAAAACAATTCGGATAACTGTGTATAACCAATTCCTAAATACAATTTCCCAAATGTTTTAAAATTTATATTTTTTGTTTGATATTTTTGTTATTGTATATCTTGCTTACTTACCTATTGCGATAGAGCTACTTACAGCAGCTTTATTGATAGACCAATTGCTATCGGGTACAAATTTAGTAGAACTAATTTTTTTTTCTAAATTACACATTTTGCATTTAAACAAAAAATCAGAATAAAAACCTGAACGAATTTCATTTACTAAATTCATATTCATAAAATTACAATCAAATCCACCGTCATGCTTGATATTTTGTATTTGAAAAAATATATAAGACATGTCAACTATTCTAAGTCCGTCTATTTCATTAGTTATTATTCTGAAAATTTTTAAGCAGTTATCATAGTAACTTATAAATTCAAACATATTTATTTTATCTCAGAATTATATTATAAATGTTATAAACATACTCTGTTGGCGAGTTTTCGATTTCTGGATCTTTGACAGTTTCTAGTTCATGTAAATCAATATTTTCACATGGCGTTATACTATTATCTTCAATAGAATCTAATATATTAACTCCGGGAATATGAATTTCATCGTTTGAAAAAACATTAACTTTAACTCTAGTATTATAAAAATTATAAATTAGTTGTAAAATTATAACTAATAGCAATTTAAAAAAAAGCGGGAAAGTAGGTGTCGAATATACCTAACGTGACCATAATATTTTTTACTCAAAGCAAGACACTTATAAATTTCAATAGGAAAACCATAATAAGTTTTTTCGAAAAATGATAATACTAAAAATATAGTAAAACACATTACACAGTGTAAAACAATAATTATTTTTATAAAAATTACAAAACAAAAACAGACAAATGGTAAATTAAATTATAATATTTAGCTGGATTTTTATATTTTTTGGATCCGCAAATCCGAAATAACGATGTATTTAAATTTAAAATACGAATTAGGTACTTATTTTTTTTATGATTTTTATTTATAGACTATATAGACTATGGCCTATGAGTGTTTACACCTTTGGACAGCGGAACTTGCAGTGGTCACGTTTAATATATCTTGTAATTTGGTTGTTAAAACTTATTAAATATTAAAATAACAATAATTGAATAATTTATAATGAATGTATAAGCTTATTACTAAAAAATTAACAAACCTATTAGAAACCAATGTAGTACTTGAAGTATCAGTCTCATTTATTATTTCCATAGAAGTTTCACCCAATGGTAGTGGACTAGAAGTACAACTTAAAAAAGGTGGCGGTAAGTGGATGTCGCTCTGCTGTACTGTAGGTTACGAGTGGGTCACTGTATAATGGATGGTATTAAATTTGAATTCAATGATAAAATATCATTGTATAAGAAAAACGATTCTGAGCGAAGAAGGTATGTCAGTCTAGGTTTAAGACATATTATATACATATCTATGGTATTAAAAAAAAAATTGACCTATAATAAATTCCAAATTAATCATTTCACAATATCCACTAGGTACTTTAACACGTTATACATCAATAACAAACCCTGATACTATCATTGATATATAATATAGTGTACTTTAAAAGTTTCAAGTACCCACGAATAGTATTATACACTCACAACAAAATAACTAAAATAGGTATGCTAGGTTTTTTAATATGTAATTTCGTCCCAAATTTGAACTTAAAATGTCTGTAAAATATAACTGTGCTCATATATTTTTTAGATTTTTTGCCTACAGTATGAACTATTTATGAGAATCTTTTTTTAAATTTTCAATCCTTAGCTATAAAAACTGAACATTTTATAATTTATTAATTACAATGATTGATAATTTTCGAGATTTTGATAAATTTTGTCAAAATGCGATCTTTAAATGCTTATAAAAAAAAATTGTGCCTATGTATTTTTAATATTTTTCAATTGATATTGTAACAATATATCAGGAGCTTTGTATTAATTTTTCACACTTTTTGGCCCAACAGATAAAACTTTATTAATATTTATAGAAAAAAAAAAACTAAAAAAATTGAAAACTGAAAATGTCCGTGAACGGCTCAAAAAGAGTCAAAATATTTTCAAAATTGTATGGTGTATAGGAAATGCTAATATAAACATTCAGTGAAATTTTCATGTATCTACAGTAATTCGTTTTTGAATTACAACAAAATAAGGAAATCGCCACATGAGAAATCGAGTGAATATCCAATGTTGTAAAAGTTTGAATTTCAAACGCTCATAAAAATTTAATTTGACTTTCTTATAGAATTTTTTTTTTGATAAATGTAGGATATCTTATAAGGAATCTTGTATTACATTTTCATATCTTAGATTTAAAAAGAAAAATTTTTATGAATTTCTAACTCGAAATAATTTGCAAATTTTCGTGATTTTTCCATATTATGGAATATTATTTTTTTGAACTTTAAATGCTTAAAAAAAAAAACTGTGACTAACGATTTTTAATATTTTTCATCTGTCTTTGAAACAATATAGTAGGAGCCTTGTATTAAATTTTCAAGTATATTTACTCAACAAATAAATTTTTATTGATATTCATAAAAAAAAAAACTAATAAAATTGGAAACTGAAAATGTCCCTAAACAGTTCAAAATAAATCAAAATATTTTGAAAATGTCATCGTGTATAGAAAATGCAAATATAAACAACCACTGAAAATTTCATGTATCTACGGTTATTTGTTTTAAAGTTACACCAAAAACCAAAATCGATTTTTTGGAAAACCGATTTTGCGTAAAAATTCCCGTTTTTCCTTAATTTGTATGTTGTTTTTCCCGGCGCTCTTGAAAACTAATGGGAAATTTAAATTTTGACCTTCCCAATGCACCAACGATATTCACTTTCCAATCGAACAAGATACTGAAGTCGAAAATCGAAGCATTATTTCGACTACTTATCGTGTACACAGACACAAAAAAAAAAAATAAAAAAAAAAACACACATCATTGTAAAATCAATACATTCATCGTTTCACTCAGAATCTAAAATAAATAAACACACATCATTGTAAAATCAATACATTCATCGTTTCACTCAGAATCTAAAACCTACCTAATAATAAGAGTTATTCATTTCAGTTGTAATATATCCTATAAATTATTTATTTCAGATACTCCATTATGCAAAAAAAGTAACATGGTACTCGATTATTATAGAAGTTTTTATATTGATAATTTGTGCTTCTATGATGGTGATGAAATTAGGTTAGTCAGAAAAAAACTGTAGTTCTTACCTATTATACGTAGCTGGTCTTGTGGTACATAGACTTAATCCTTTTACAGTTACATTGAAATTTTTTTAGATTTTTCGGTAAGAGAATTAACTACTTACGTAGAATCTTGTTTTAAATTTTCAATCCTTAGCTATAAAAACTGAACATTTTCTAATTTATTAATTACGATGATTAATAATTTTCGAGATTTTGAAAAATTCTGTCAAAATTCGATGTTAAAATGCTTATAAAAAAAAATTGTGCCTATGTATTTTTAATATTTTTCAACTGATATTGTAACAATATATCAGGAGCCTTGTATTAAATTTTTACACTTTTTGGCCCAACAGATAAAACTTAATTGATATTTATAGAAAAAAAAACTAAAAAAATTGAAAACTGAAAATGTCCGTAAACGGCTCAAAAAGAGTCAAAATATTTTCAAAATTATATGGTGTATATAAAATGCTAATTTAAACATTCAGTGAAATTTTCATGTATCTACAGTTGTTCGTTTTTGAATTGCAACAAAATAAAGAAATCGCTACATGAGTAATCGAGTGAATATCCAATGTTGTAAAAATTTGAATTTCAAACGCTCATAAAAATTTAATTTGACTTTCTTATAGACATTTTTCTTTTGATAAAGGTAGACAAACTTATAAGGAATCTTGTGTTTAATTTTCAAATCTTAGATTTAAAAAGAAAAATTTTTACGAATTCTTAACTCAAAATAATTTGCTAATTTTCGTGTTTTTCCCATATTTTGTCAATTTTTGAACTTTAAATGCTTATAAAAAAAAATTGTGACTAAGGTTTTTTAATATTTATCATCTGCCTTTGAAACAATATATTAGGAGCCTTCTATTAAATTGTCAAGCTTTCGCAACCAACAAATAAAATTGTATTGATATTTTTAGAAAAAAAACTAAAAAAAGATGGAAAATGAAAATGTCCCTAAACTGTTCAAAATAAATCAAAATATTTTGAAAATGTTATCGTGTATAGAAGATGCAAATATAAACAACCAGTGAAAATTTCATGTATATACGTCATTTCTTTGAGAGTTACACCAAAAACCAAAATCGATTTTTTGGAAAACCGATTTTGCGTAAAAATTCCCGTTTTTCCTTAATTTTTTTTTGTTTTTCTCGGCGCTTTTGAAAACTACTGGGAATTTTAAATTTTGACCTCCTCAATGCACCAACGATATTCACTTTCCAATCCAACAAGATACTGAAGTTGAAAATCGAAGCATTATTTCGACTACTTATCGTGTACACAGACACAAAAAAAATAAAAAAAAAATACACATCATTGTAAAATCAATACATTCATCGTTTCACTCAGAATCTAAAATTTGTCGTGCCCGAGCAATGTCTAATTGATTTTCAATAGATAAATGTACGTTTTTTTATATCTATGAAAATATGATCTGCATCAAAGACGGATTGTTTGTGATACTGAAGTGTTACATGATTTTTAAACGTTTCCATTGCATGTTTCCAATTTTGAAAAGGTTTTCTAACCAAAGCGCCTAGTGTTTGAGAATTTATGCCAGCTCCTGATTTAGTAAACGCTACACAAAACGTACAAAATGCACCATCTAATTTTGCGGAGGACGCCAACCACGGAAAGGTATGCAACCATCTGTATTGAAATTTTAAATTTTTGGATCGCTTATCTTTACCACTATATATAACAGTATTAGGGAATTCAAAATTACCTACTTATAAATTATAATGCGTTATACGTCAACAACAAACCCTGATACTATCATAGTCCATACTCCATAAATATAATATAATAGTGTACTTTAGAAGTTTCAAGTACCCACGAATAATATTACACAATCACAACAAAAAACTTAAAATAGTTATTCTAGGTTTTTTTTTATGTAATTTTGTCCAAAATTGAACTTAAATAAATGACTATAAAAATAAACTGTGCTTATGTATTTTTTAGATTTTTTGATAACAGAATTAACTACTTACGTGGAATTTTGTTTTAAATTTTCAATCCTTAGATATAAAAGT